AACAGCTTGGCAACATAGATACCTACACTTTTAGAAATGAAACTGCATTAACTAATAAAGACCCAAGAGAATAGGAGAGGATGATTGAACAAAATATTATGATAAATGAAGTTCAACAATTAACATGACATCCTACTCAGTTAGAAAAGAGAGAACCTGAGGTTCTACCTTCTTAAGCAATACTATCAGACCATGTATAAATCTAGGTGGGGTACAGTTTGATTCCAACAGCAACAACTTTGTTGCATGATTCAGCAATGGAGCCACATTCCAGTAAAGAATCACCACTTACAACATTAATTCCATCCTTAGAGTTAAAAGAAAACCATGCTGGAATCTTTATGTCCCCTTCTTCCAGAAGCTCTGCATAAGCCTGCTTAGTCCATAAGTATAGTTAGGGAGATTCAGGAAACAAGTCAAGACCAAAATAAATATTGTAAGTGGAGACTTACAAATTTTAAATGTCCAAGCTTACTTTCCGTTTAGATAATTGATTGTTGTATACTTGTTCTGGAAGTTCAATTGATTATATATGTCTCAGTGATTTATTCATTATATGAAATTACCTGACTAGCGATTTTACCCTTTCACAAAGGCAATGGAAACTCCATAACAGAAATTTAATGCTTTATCAGTCTCTTGAGGTTTAGACAAGAAATGGCAGATTTTAGGCCAAATTAAGTTGGGAAGACTATTATAGAAACTGAAAAACTCTATGGAGTGAGAAAGATCGGAATAAAGCCTTGATAATAAGATTACAAAAAAGACAGTGTTAATATCAGGAGCAGTTTTTTGCCTTTACCATATCCGGACACATCATATGACAGCCTTGCTAGGTCTTCTGGCTGCAGTTCAAACTACATATTAGGCAAGGTGTGCTAGGAACTGGGATAAAGAATTAGGAAATAACAGTGAAGAACCAGAATTTTACTGCTGTGACCTCTTCCCCAGGATCTATAACAGGAAATGAAAGGTAGAGATTGATGACAAACTATAATAGTGTCTACCTCTTTCTCTCCCAATTCCGGATTAGAAAACTATAATGGTGTCAAAGGTTTAGATAATTCATGGTAACATGGGGATTCATCTTTTGGTTTTTATTGATCTTCTCTGACTTCTAGAAGAAAAAAAATCTAAAAAGACAGCTAAAAATAAACATAGGAAGTAGATTTTAGCATTTGAATGCACAAAGCTTTTAGGATACCTGAGCTTCAAGCTTATTTGGCACTGTCTCAAAAGCAAGTAGGTCAGCACCTGAACCTGCTAAAATTTGAACTCTTCTCCGATGAAAATTTTTATAAGAGTTTCCAACGTCACAGCATCACCATAATCCCCACTGTTAGGAACAAAATATCAAAAAACATGACAATCAAAAAAATGTGATTGCTATTAGTGCCGAGAATAGCAGCAAAAGTTTATCAAACCTCAAACTTTCAAGAATGTTAACAATTATATGCAGAGAAATCTCAAAATTGTACACACATGCAAGATGACTAAGAAATTCATTTCACACAACCTTATGAATTTTCTATTCTAAGAACCAGAAAGATTTTTGCCAAAATAACAAATTCCAAGCTAAAAAAGCCACCTTGGAAACATAACATATCTTGAATATCATTTTGATTGTTAATCAACAAATGGGCTCCACAAGTAAACAAAAACCACAGCTGATGCTAAATACTAGATATTGGTCCTTTCACCTGTACTCTGATCCGTCAGCCAAATAAGCTCCATAGCTCCCCACTGATGCTGCAATTAGTATAGTGCGTTGTTTGGGGATTCTACCATCAGCCCCACCACCCGAAGAGAATGCACCTCCCGACTTTCTTGCTTTCTCCTTACCTTACCTCCCACAGACCCAAATAACCAATGAAAATAAACACCCATATGACCGATAGTAGAAGAAAACATATATCCAAAAAAGGTACATATCACGAATTTATAATAATGTAACGAAAAAAGAGAGGAGAAATGGCATTGCACAGCAACCCAACCAGTGGCGGACCCAGAAAAATTTGTTTATGTCCGCACATTTAGTGGCGGGTGCTCCCAAATTTTTTTTGTAAAAAAAGTTTAAGTTAACGCTTAAACTCGCTCATAATCTAGTTGCTTCCATAACAAGCTGCAGGCAATATTTTGACCCATCATTTTTTCTCTTAAATCTTACCAATCCTCCAAAACAAATATGAAAATATACTTAAGTACATCCATACATCATCATTCTATTCTATTTTATAGTGGTGAATAAAAAAGTCAACACTATTTGTACAGAAGACAAGCAAAATCACACTGAAGGCCTTGTCTAGAAAGGAAACAAAGGAGATGAAGAGAGCGTGAGAATGGGTACATGGTAGGGGAGGAAGAGAGCGTTGCTACGTTATTTTAATCATCTCCGTACGTTGCTAACTAATATAAGAATAAATATCATTTTTGGTCTCCAACAAAAAATTCGGTACTCACTTTAGTCTATTATAAAAAAAAATAGTTACCTAGTCCTTATGAAATTTAAAGTGAACTCATTTTAGTCTTTTTGAGTAACTAATGTAGGTCTTTTTTGAATTAGTGAGGAACCACGATTTTAACTAAATTGATTCACTTTGAATTTCGTAGGGACCTCGAGACTAATTTTTGATAAGAGACTAAAGTGGGGACCATGTTTTTTATTAGAAACTTAAAATGATATTTACTCCTAATATAAATATTGAATCAACATACAAATAAATACCTACAAAGCTAAAAAAAAAAAAAAAAAAAAAAATCCAAAATTTTATGTGGGCACTTGCGGACATTTGCCCATGGCTGGGTCCGCCAGTGAACCTAACCCACCCTACATAAAAGCAAATCCAGAAAAACGGTGTTGTACCTTCTCACAAAGTGAAACAGAGCGACACATAAATGATCACTTTCGCGCGACACAGAGCGACACAAGTAAACAACTCTGCAACAAATAGATTAGGTATGATATTTTCACTTTCGCGCGCTAACAGGAGGGTACGCTCGTCATCTGCATCTTGCCCATTGTGATGATTTACATAGGTAACTGGCAATACCACATCGCAAATGGGCAAATTTCACCAGGTTTTTGGATCAGATACACATGCAACTTGTTAAGGTGGGGAACTGATTTGGGTGGGTATATCTTCAAAACGCTTCAACCAAACACGGGCACAAACTAATCCCACTTCTCAAATGTCTATGCATCTCCTCAGAATCCGTCAACCAAACGCCCCCTAAGCTTTTGAGACAATTGGTTGTTTGACACAGTATCAGAATCTCTATAACCAAGTGTTCTAGAATTTGATCTGTACTGTTAGAAATCGACAATTGCACAACACACAAATCGAAAATGAAAAAAAGAGAAGGAGAGAGAAAATTGACATAGTGATTTGCCCTGTTTCACCTAATATAGGCTACGTCCAGTTTGTCTGTACTATATTCACCTCACCGTCACTAGTTACAAGTCACTCGGTTTACAAGGAAATATAAATAGAATTTAGAAAACCCTAATATCAGCTATTTACGGGCCCAAACTCGAACTATTAAGAAAAATAAAATTACAATAAACTTTAATTGCCTTTTTGGTGACCCCGTCAATAAGGGTACTCATCAGTATTCGAAGTATGAGCTATACCCAACATGTAGACCTTCGTTCTTCTAATAATATTATCAAATTTCTTAGCATTAGTAGGTGAATATATTCATTGTCCATCCTTTAGACGCAATTAACTTTTGTGTGAGATAGCATGCTAAAAATATAATATAAAAAAGATATGATATTATTTCTCTATTCTTATCATACCTACTCTATTTACTCCTTCATTTTTTTCTCTTCTCTCAAAATTATGACGTAACATTGTTTGAGAGGAATAGGTAATTTGTAAAATATGTATGAAAAAATAGGTATAATATCTTATTTCAATATAAAATTTAAAATCAATGGCTTTAACAGCTTACAATTTTGTGAGTTTTATCAATGGCTTTAATATTATTATCAATGGGAATATTATTTCTCATAACAGAAAATACATCACAAAAATAAATAAATAAGACTCACTAAAAAAAGAGAGAACAAAAATAAGTGAGTTTTATTCACTTTTTTGTGTTGTATAAGATAAATTATCTCATATAATATGAGAAATAATATTCTCAATATCAAATATTGAGATTTTCAAGGTGTGAGAATAAGAGTTTTTGGAGGGACTATAAATATTGGGAAAAATGTTTATCCTTTTAAATGATACAACTTATATCATTTCACTCTCACAAAGAGATGAGACCTACACCTTTATTTTTTTGTCAATTATCTCTCCTCCTTTATCTATCTCTTTTAAAATGACACACCTTTACATTCTTTAAAATGACACACACTTTTTCCATAAATATTAAAGGGAAAGATATTGTAACAACCAAGTTGTGTTACTACCATGTTACTACCAATCAATCTCACCGTTAGATCGATTATGTTGATCCAACGATTATATTTATTTCGATCTTTGTATGGTTATGATTCTCCATATTTAAAGTGAAACCATTAAATATGAGAAATCATAACCATACAAAGGTGAAAATAAATATAAAGTATTAAATTTGGAAAATCATGACCATATAAAGATGGAAATAAATATAACCGTTGGATCAACATAATCGATCTAACAGTGAAATTGATTTGTAGTAACTTGGTAATAACATAACTTATTTGTTACAATATCATTCCCCAAATATTAAATAAGTTGGGGAGAGTATTTTTGTGATAAAATTGCTAAATATATTTAATTATTAGCATATATAATATTTTTTTAAATATTTAACTAAATGCAAAATGGTCAAAAAGGTTAGTAATAATTTAGATTTATTTAACAAAAATCCCCGGTTAGTTAAATTTAACAAAGTTTGTATTCAGAAAAAAAAAAAAAATTTAACAAAGTGAAAGTACAAAAATAAAATAAAATAACTCATCAACACCATTTCACCAGCAGAACATAATTGTTCCTTGATTGGTAACTTAGCGTACAAGATTTATTCCAAAATTATTCAATTCTCCTTTTTCTCTTTCAATCACACCAAAAAGAAAAAAGTTATCTTCCTTCAACGATCGCGTTTCCACTTTTCGAATTGGGGTTTGGGAGCTGAGAAAACAAGCGAGAAAATGCAGGGTTGGTTCTCCGGGCAGAGCACCGCCAGCGACGACGACCTGAAGCCGTCATCGTCTTTGCTGGCGGATTGGAACTCTTACGCATCGGCTCAATCCTCTCAGGACTCCTCCGATTTGGGCCTCTCCTTCGATCTCGAATCTGCGGTTAGGTCTGCAAACGACACCGTTTCCGGCACTTTCAGCGTGTAAGCCATGCCCTACATCTGTTACCAATGCATTTATCTACATTCTCTTCAGCAATCTGGACCTTGATTTTGCTTCATATGAATGTAGTATTTTTATTTTTTATATAGCCGTAGTTGAATTTGAAGTAATGTGAAGAGCATACATAGTTCTATTTATGATGAATTGTCATAGCAATCAAGGTTTTAAATTGTGGTAGTAGTAGCATTGTGGTTTTTACGGTTACGGATATTTCGAATTGTTTACATCATTGCAAAAATTGTATCAAAATTATTTGTATTATTCTACAATTTATAATAGCTGCTAATGTAAGACTGATTACCTCAACATTATCAGAAATAGTTACTCATATATTTAACTATGCTCATGCAAGAGTCATTACTTCACCAGTCACCACGTGGTAGAACTACAGCACCCGGTAGAACGACGATAGTAACTTCCACTATCACTTTTGACTATCATTAATTTGTGTTCTTCCAAAGACACAATCAAAAAGTTCTGAGCTTCTTGATGGTTCCATTTGTTGTTGTTGTTGTTCATTGGAAAAAATTAATGATGGATCATAAGACTCTTGGTAAATATTGGAAGGTTGATAATATGGTGGGGATGGCGTAGGTGGATAATGGCCATGCGTCGTGTAAGAAGGATGTTGACAGTTTGGTGGATATTGCCTTGGCTACCTTATCAAAGGATTGTGCTACACTGGATGAGGAAGAATCATTGACTTTAGAATTTTCACGCCTTATGTTTTTCTTAGGCTTGAATCCATCCTCCTCTATTACTACTAGTAGTAGCATCATTTGAAGGTGCTTCATCCATCCTATATTGTGTCATATCAAGCAACAAGCATTAGATTTTGATTAAGTTTGAAATATGATTCTTCTTGAAAAGAATGAAATGACCCTTCACCTTTTCCTTGACTTTGTTCTGTATTACCATCACCACCGTTACCGCTACCACTATACCTATTATTACTCGGTGAACTTAAACCACCACCACCTGGAGTAGGTGTTTTACTTGAATCTGAATCATCCCCCCAGTTGTTCCTTCAGTATCTTCATCAGATTACTAGGGAGTCGTTCTGAGTTTTGGATCCCATCCGACAATGAGCCTTCTCTTTCCTCAAGCCATGGAGATAAAGGATCTTCTTCCTGAAATATATAATCAAAATTAATAGGATTGGAGCTATTCTCAACCGCTTCTTGACTTCTCCCTGAACTGTGTCTCATTTTCAGCTTCATGTTGTAAATGTAAAGACAAGCTAAATGTACTTTAGTATCTTTCACAATTTGAATCTGTTGTTTGAACGAGAACTTTTACATCTACAAGTTGATGTTCAGATATCATCTACCATTCAGCTAATTAAACAAACTAGAATATCAATAAAAAGAAAAGTTGAAGACCTTCTTGCACTTATGCATCAAAAAGCACAAACTACAAAACCTTACCAGGATTCATTTGAGACCAAGCTTTTTGAGCTTGTAATGTTCCTAATGTCTCTTGCTTATCCTGGAAAAGTAACTATTTTTTGACGTTGGATTTTTTCCAATATCTTCTATGACGTCTAATAAAGTGGTCGACCAAAACTTACTTGGGGGAAGTATTAAAGCAAACTTTAATAAAGTGGGAAATAGATTGACTGATGGTGTGTCTTAGGATGGATTGGAGAAAAACTATTTGCATTGTGGAGGGTTAGATTTGTTTTTCTTCTTAAGTTGCAGATGGTCCCTTTTTAGTCTTTTTTTGTATCTCCTTTTATTTCTTCCTCTTTATTTTTTTATCTTTTCCCTCTTATTTATTTATTTAAATTCTTTCTTTCTTTCTTTCTTTCTTTATTTTTCTTTATTTTTTTCCTTTTTTTCTCTTATGTATTTTTGCTCTTATTTATCTTTATTTTCACTTTATTTTCATGTTATTTTTTTATATTTTTTTTAATTTCTAATTTTTATAGTTTTATTTTATTTTTATTCTGTTTTTTATTTTGTTTTGTTTTTTTTTCTCTCTCAATCTTTTCTTGCTTTTCATTTGGGTTCATCGGCCACTGACCCCAACTAATTTGAGATAAATTTGTTGTTGATATTGATGTTGTATAAACCCATGCAATGAGTCTGCTTTATACTTTTACTCGTAGCCAGATCAACAGCTACGTACCTTAATCTGAGGTCAATTTTGCTTGGTTGATGTTGACAAGTATTAGTGTATATGTACTTTCCATTATCTGCTTAGCTGTACTTTCCGTTATCTTTCTGTTGTAGTCAGTTATGATTTGTTATGATCAGTTACACCTTATCTAACTGAATTGCTTTGGTTAGTACTGTTAACTCAAAGCTATAAAGTCTCATCATGTATTCTCATAATTACTAATTGAGTAATACTCAAGATTCAAAGATCAGTTTTCTCTCTCCTTTTCTTTTCTGCTTTCTCAATCAATCTCTTCTTCTTCGTTTATGGTATCAGAGCTCCAGCTTCTGGGGCCCTGATCCACATTTCAAGCTTCCATGGCTTCCGCTACAACAAGCAATCCTCAAACTGCTTCTTCTTCTTCAAAAGATTCACAAACAACACCGGTTCTGTTCAACACTCAAACTCCACTACGGCCACTACCACCTACATGAGAGATGCCTCCGTCTTGATGCATTGAATCTTATCCACCAGTTTGTCATCTAAATCTTTGCCTGTCTTTCTGTTGTCCTTGTGACATTATGCTTTGTTGTGTAGGTTGTCTTATAGCCATGTCTTCTTCAAGAAAACCTTAAATCAGACCATCCTCATCTCTTCTTAAACGTGACACATATTCTTCTTTTCTCTTTGCGATGTCTTTCTTCTTTATATTTTCTCTGACAACAAAGTTGAAATCTTAGCTCAACCCTTAACTTCTCCTTGCATATGTGAAAGATGTTCTTTTAACCGAATAACTCCACCAGGTAACTGATGGCAGTGGCGGCTGAAAAGGTGACAGCAACTGCAGCAGTAAATGCTACGACCAAGGTAGAAAAATGTTCAGAGCTTAGACAGTGGTTGCTAGGTTTAGTGGGTGTTAAGTTGATGGATCTTAATGGATATATAATTGAGCGGTGCATTATCTATCCAATAGTGAATTGGATTTAGTAAATCCTGCCCATTTAAAACCAATACTCAAATGAATGGATTGGGTTGGATTTATGTATTGATGGGCTGGATGGATAATGGATTGATGGATCATTTTACCACACCTAATGAATGTGTCTGTGTTCCTATTGTAATTGCTAATTCCCCAGCTATCTCTTATATAGTTACCTTCTTTTCCTATAAATTTATAGTTCGAGTTGGTGTGAGTAAGAAAAAAGGGGTTTATGTGAATTGAGTCCGGAAGAGATATAGGTAGCTATGAGAGCATGGTTGGTGTTTGACGGGGCCCAAAGTGTAGTTAGTTAAAGTAGTTATAGATCAGTTGGCTGGTTAAATTTGTTAAGAGTAGGGACTTAGCTTAAATAATAGGAGAGAGGTAGAAGAAGAGGTATTGGGATTTGTTAGTTTTGGGAAACTGAGCAGTGACTCACTCGTAAAAGGAGAAACCCTTGGAAAGAGAATTCTGTCCTCTGGTTTCTTTTTGGGATTCTGTAAACCATTATAGAAGCATTCTCTCTCTCTCTCTCTGCTCTATTTCTAAAATCTAAGAAATTTATCTTGGTCTGTAACAATGATCTAAAAGATCATCACTTGCTAGGAAACTTTATGTATAAGAGATCATAATTGGAAAGCGAGGAAGCAAGCATGCCAAACAATCAGTTCACTGGCCTCAACCCATATAATTATGTGTTGCATATGTATTGTCAGGGATTGATTCAACTAGACCTCATTACTGTCCTATGTTATTATGTGGCAAAAACAACCGGTAAGCAATAATAATCCATTTTTATTTTTCCATTGAGTCTGAACCTAAACCTACGCTTGAGAGATAGCTGTCCATATATTGATAATGGATGTATTTCCATGTCTTTTTTCAGTCAAGTTTTACTTTAAGAAAAAGAATTATTGCTGCATAAGTCATACTTATATTAGTGACAAAATTATGCTTAAGTGGGAGGAGTATTATTCAGAGCTGTGGTTGAGATTCTATTTCTGATTTTAAATTTGTAATTGAGTAAAATCATTCATTCCTTGGATGATATTTACTCTAACTTCAGTGTAGTTTTTCTTCTTGGTGACAGCATTATGTTTTCATAATACCAGAACAGTCATATAGATAATAATATACATGTGTATGAACTTTTTCACTTTTCTCTCATGTAAAATACTTCACTCTGAGATCATGATTTACAGTGGTTGAGTCTTGGTATCAGTAAGTAATTTCTGTCTTCATGCGGATTAATTTACAGACTGGTACAAGTTTCTGATGCAATTATATGTGGAAAAATGGTCTGTTCTGTCTGCCTTATCTGAATGTGACAGAGTGGTCATTCTTATTGTTCTTCAGTTTCTTTTCTTAGAGGGCCGAAGGGCCGACCCAGTTCAAATACCCACTTCGTGAGTGTCTGGGGAAGGGAATACTCTAGGCAGTCTTTCCCCTGCTTTTTGCAGAGAGGCTGATTCGAACCCGTTAATGGTATAAAATTGCTTTTAAAAAAAAAAAACAGGCAGTGTATTGCATTTTCCCCAAAAAAAATTTAGAAGGGATTTCCTACATCATTGTGAAAGAACATTATGGCCAGAAAGCCTTTTATAACGCAAATACTGAATAGTTTGGCCTGAACTTACGTCCTCATGTAGTTAAGCAATTTGTCTCTTATTGTTTAGGGTTTCTAAAGGTGTGAGAGATCTACCTGGCAACTTCCAGTCTGCCACTAGTAATGTTCCTTCTGGCAAAGCGCTTGTGTATTTTGGTTTGCTTCTGGCTAGCGGGGTCTTCTTTGTTTTCATAGCATTTACATTGTTTCTTCCTGTCATGGTGGTTATGCCCCAAAAGTTTGCTATATGCTTTACTCTTGGATGTGGATTTATTATTGGATCATTCTTTGCTCTCAAGGGCCCAAAAAATCAGCTTGCTCACATGTTGTCAATGGAGGTAATTTGCTAGAGTTTCATTTCTTTTTGCTTAAATGGTGATAAAAAATCTTGACCAGTCGTTATATGTTGCTTCAGCGAGTTTGTTTGGGCTTTTGATAAAATACAGTCATTTTGATTTGATTGCATGTGTTTGCTGCTTCTTTCTGACTATCTCTCTTTGTGATTGTTTTTCAGAGGCTCCCTTTCACATTGGCTTTTATAGGTAGTATGATTGGTACTATATATGTATCAATGGTGCTTCACAGCTACGTTCTTTCTGTGGTATTCTCTATAGTACAGGTATCAGTTTCATGTATCCTTAAAAGGCTTCTTTGTAGCTTCGCCATTCCTATGTATTGTTGTTCACATTTGCTGTTGAGTTAAAGCATGCTCAAACTACAATTCTTTTAATGTAGTTGTTAGAGATGCAATATAAAACCATTCATATGTCTTGTAATGCGGGAACTGAACTCAACATGTCTTTACTTAATAACTTAAACTTTTGGGAGAATTGCTTCATGATATAGTATTAAAATCTCTATAACCAAGTGGTTTAGAGTTCAATTCTTGTCATTTCCATTCTTCTAATAAAAAGTTAAATTTCAACACAATATAGATGAGCCTGTCCATTGTTCATGCTTTAAGTCCAATGTATTCTTGCGTGAGGGGGCGTGTTGGATATGTGATATAAAATTATTCTTGTGTTTTCACCTAATAGCTGAAGTTTTTGGAAACATTGGTTCATGATAATAGTAAAACCAATATCAATTTAAGAGCTCCTGGTGGCTGGCTTTAGTGATGGGTGTGTCATGTGTGTTTAACATGGTTCCAGCAAGTGGGGGTTTGGAAATAGGTCTTCCATACAGATTTTTGTATATATTATTTTGTGATGTTTCTTTGTAAAACTATCCGTCTTGCATTGAAATTGCAATTTTAACTATATTTTCAGGTTCTCTCACTTGGGTACTATGCTATATCATACTTCCCTGGTGGATCTGCTGGAATGAAATTTTTGACTTCTGCTCTTACCTCCTCAATAATGAAATGTTTTGGGAGGTGACCTGTTTTTGGTTAATAGGAGGTGATATCAAATATTTGTCTATATGATAGTTGACTTGTAAATTTTGTCTCTTGAGATCTATCAGCTGAAGCTTTAAACTGACCTAAGAATATTGCTGAGATGAAGCATCATCTAACACTTTCTTAAGAGTTCAATTTTTGTTACCACTTGCCACATCTAAATGCAAAAATTGATATGCCTCTTGGCATAAAGTTTCTAAATGCAAATTAACATTGTCTGATTGATGAAGTAAACCGTTGCTTTCCTCCTGTTCCCTCCCTTCTACATTTGATCATGGCCTTTTAATGTGGGATTTTCCTGTTAACAAAGTGTCCCTTAACAAAGTGTGAAGTTATCACCGATTGTGCGTGCGTCCAATTCTTAGATATTTGGACTGGTGCCAAATGAGCTTGTGGGGGAGAAGAGTGGTATCTTAGAAGATTAAACCTTTGATATCAACGTTACAGCCAATTCTTGGATACTTGGACTTGTACCAAATGAGCTACAAGCTCATTGACATATTATTTTTGGTACCCGATGACAGAAACTAAATAGGGACTAGAGGTGTGACACCCTATAAAATCCATGGCTGATTAACTGAAAACTGCTAAATAGCAGATAGAGGTAAACAGGTTCAATGTCTGTGCCAACCGATTAGGAGTTCCAAATTGTTTCTATGGGTTTATCTGCTATCTTCAAAATGTAGCGATATTGGTGGGGAACGAGAACGAATACTTTTTTGCAATGATGAACTAAATAGAGAAGAAAGCTAGTTTTTAACCCGAGGCTGGAAATAAAAAGTAGAAGAAGATTTAAAGTGGAACTATCACATCATCTCTTATGCTAATCCTAATCCAACTCTAGTAATCATGGTCCTATTAAAGTTAAACCTCCCCTCTTCTCCCCTTCCCCCGGCCCCCCCACAAAAAAAGTTAAATCTCCCATACAAGATAATTTTGCCACTTGATCCTTATTGGACTCTGATGCTCATTGGTTATCTGGTACCATCAGTGTTTAAAGTGGAATCATTGAATGAAATCTTTACCATTTTTTCAAACTGCGCCCCTCCTGCTCCCCCTTCCCTTCTTTTTTTGTCCCCCTCTTTTAGACAATGGTTGAATTTGGATATATAAAGAGACATAACCTTTTCCGGGTTTGAAGGACCAAAGTATGTTCCGATGGAACTGTTGACCTGGCTAATACATGTTAGAAGGGATTGGCTTTTGCTTCAGGGGGTTTTCTTGTAACATCCCGAGCCCTGACGAGGGCAGGGGAGTGATCGCCGGTGCAAAGAGGCACGGACAAGGAGCGGCTTCTGACAGGCTTCCAGTGTGGGGTTACATGCATGAATGAATCGAATCGACACCCGAAAGAGAGGAATTCCAGAGACTGTGTTGGTATGGGACGGTGCAGTTGAGAATAGCTTATAAGAATTAATTGGTACTACCTATACTAACAATATGCATCTGCTTTTCGGTAGCCCGGATCGGAAGAACTCCACAGTTAAGCGTGCTTAACTTGGAGCAATTCTGGGATGGGTGACCTCCTGGGAAGTTTTCCCGGGAAGTGTGCGAGTGAGAAAAAAGCACACTGAAAAGTCTCGTGTTAGTATGTGGGGATAGTCATTGATTCTTGAAGCGGTCGGGCGTTACATTTCTCAATAGATTAACTTCTTGTGAAATGATATTTAAGTGTGAAATATTACCGGAATAGTAAAGTTTCACCATGATAAGAAATGGATTAAATGATGATCATATAAGTGGAATGATTGATAACCTAATATGTTAAGTTTTGAGTTAAAATATAGTGTCAATCCTATCTATTTATTACGGTAAATTGTCGCTTTACTCATTTGATGATGATTTTTTTTTAGATATATTGGTGGGAATTGAACACATAATTTAATACGAACTATCGAAATTCTTTATTACTAGATCAATCTTAGTGGCTTGATGATAATTTTCAAATAGCACGTGCTTCCTTACCCAACAATTACAAAATGCTTAATTATTAAAGAATAGGCTTGAAGAGCTATTTGTAATTGTTAGTTTAAGGAGAGTTATTTTTGTGAGTTTGACATAAATGATAAAAAAAAAATATATTTGTTTAAGGTAACTTTTTTTTTTTGAAAGAAAAAAAAGGCGAAGTAAAACGAAAAAAAGAAGAAGCAACATCCTCAAGCCTCAAATCCAATGTACTTTTTTTATTTCCAAAGTACAACAAAGCAAAAAGACTTTGCATTCCAACGTAGACTAGTGGAATTGATTGGATAGGTTCAACGTAGTGTGGTTTGGGTAAAAGGAAGAATTTTAAAACTTTCACTTTGTACCCATTACCTCTATTTGTAATAATTTATAGTCATTGGAAAGTTATTAGGGAGCATAACCCTGAATTTAAGGAAATATTTGGACAGCAATAATGAGATGAGACAATGATTTGACCTTATAATATGAAGATTATGCATGACCAAGAGATTTTACTATATCGTGTAATCTTTTAATAATGGACTTATTGAAAGACATAGGTCATCTTCATTGAGAGAAAACAAAGCTGAAATCAGTGGAGCACTTTGAACGGTTTTAAAAACAAAAGTGAATGTTAAAAAAAAGAAAGAAAGAAAAGTGAAGTATTCTCAAAAAAAAAAAAAAAAAAAACGAAAGTGAAGTTAATGAGAAAAACCAAACTTTTGAGTCAAATTAATGAAATTAATCCGTGTGTAAAGCATTGGCTAATTGAGAGGGCGGCAATGCTCTTAACCTTTTCAAACAATTTGCTAGAAGGTGCATCACAAGGTCTCAACTAGAGATGAATGGCAAAGCTTAAATGCAATATGGCATGTGTTCGATTCAAGGGGATCTTAATAAATATATGATTTGAGAGTTTGTGGCATCTATGAAGAAGGTTATGGGCTTATGACAGATCATTAATTATTGTACACAGTAATAATAAAGACACTAGGGTTTTAGAAGAATTACACGTGAGATTTAATTTTTTATTTATAGAGAAATTTATCTTATAATAAATAAAGTTCATAATCTCGAAGATCAAGAACAACTTGTTTTCTATAAAAATTGTCTATTCAACTAGTCTTATCTCTATGATTTTGAGATGTAATCACATTTTGGAGGCAATTGGCCAAATAATTAGAAAGAAAGAAAAGACTCCTATATTGTTTCTAATGGACAAGGATTTGTCATATTGATATATAATTGGTCAGGATTAAGCGCCCATACGTGTGTAAATTGGTGCAATCTAAGTTAATGGTTCTTCTTGATATATGATTTTGGAAGGCCATGGACCCCATAATTGCGTTTTAATGGGACCTCGTTATGTTAATGACAAATCTTGTTTTGGATCCATCAATCTGTATTACTGTAGGGGGTATCAAAAGTCCACTTGATTTACATCCAAGTTTCCCAGTTGCTGATTCCACTGCACGTGTGCCATGCACCAAGGACAAAAGTTCTCATATGATGGTTACAATAGTAGACCATGCCAAAGGGTCCACCCTCAATGCAAATCATAAAATTTCTCTCCCTCTTGCTTTCTATTTTCCTCTCATGATTATATAACATGGGGCATGGGCAAGCCATTCAATTTGATAATTACTCAAAAAGTTTTAAACTATACTTCCTTGTATACCGTTTCATGGAGTAAAGTTACTCTCACAATCAAAATAAATAATAAGAAAATAACATCAATCACCATTGATTTAAGTTGAAAAAACTTTGTTCCTTATAATTCGGGTCAAGTTCTGGCGATGAAAAAAATAGTTTTAAAAGAGTTGTCCCTTATAATTAGGAGTGTTAAATCGTATTGATACGACATGGATACATTAATACGAATATCACACCAATTTTTATTCGTGTCAAAATATTTAATAAAAACATGACCCATAAATTTTGCAGGTTGACACGACATGACACATATAACATGTAAATTGAAATTTTTGAGTTTTTGATACTAACACGAATCACTTTTTGTACGGGAATAACACAACACCACATGAAATAGTCAAAATAGTAAATAGTAAAAAAATATGAGTACAAAAAAATAATAAGGGCCAAATACGGGTTTGTGTGTTAATGCGCGGCACAACACGAATTTTTTGTGTACATATTTTGCCAACACTAACATGATACGAATTTAAATATGGATAAACTCGAACACAAGTTTTTATCTCGTGTCAAGAATTGACACCCCTATTTATAATGGGTCTGACTATATTCAAACTGTATTAATCGGATAATCGATAATAGATGAAAATATAATTTTTTTATTAATAACAAGTAAATTAAAATCATTAAATAAAGTAGAATCAATAATAAATATTTTTGTCTAGGACTAATAACAAGTTTCTTCTTCCTGTGTTTTTCTTTTATTTATCAAAATAAACGGTGCACAATCTCTTTCATTTAAGTTACACATAACGTACAACAAACGTAAAGTGGTCCATCTTCCAACACTCCCTTGAAGTACTACTACTAGTACCGATTTGATGAAAGTTCACCGACACATATTCACCAAAAAGGTTTACCGACACAAGGTACATGAATTTGAGACTCATTATTGTTATCAAATGGGGTGGAGGTAATATGTTCATGTGCAAGATTAATACCCTACTTACTGATGTTTGGTCACTCCTACTTAGCATCACTATATCATGTCGGGCAAATCTGAAATTTCATTTCATCTTTTTTTTTTTTTTTGATACTCATTTCATCTTTTTTCTAATATATATGTACTTGCCTCTCGTGAACATGAGCTCCTGCCTCCTGGCTAATACTTGTGGATCTAAATAAAAGTTTGTAGAGTAATATTTTATTTTATTTTTTGAACAAAATTGTAGAGTAATATTAACCTGAAGTACTTATGATTATATATTCCACAAGTTAATAACATTCTTAACTTTATTGACTTTTATATGCAGTCATCATTTTTATTTTGAGAAACGAACTTAAGGAAGGTCTTTACTATCTAGCTGGAATGAAAACATATTGTTGATTAAAAAGCTTGCATCATTTCAAACATGAGGTTTTTCATTTGGGCTAGCTCAGCACCATACTAACACTCTCTTAGAAATTTTTATAATAATTGTGAGCTCTAATTAATTGTAGTTTTTCTTATTTTAATAAAAACGGGCTAAGTCATCATCCATATAGGGATGCAGTATAGTCCAGTT